TGGAATCGAAGTATCCCATAGTGCTATCCCATCAATTCTAGAATTGAAAGACTGGACAAGAATTAGGATGTTGCCAGGATACCAAAAAGTCTGCTGGATACATACCATCTCTTTTCTACTCTTACAGATAGGTCGAGATCTGCCCAAATCAAACCCTTGAATATACTCCGCTGTCCTCAATGGCAAGGCTTGTAGACATGCAACTCCAAGGTCAGGGACTAATTGTAACCATATTGTATCTGAAGCATCTGAAACTGCCTGACACAAAGGTGCTTCATCAATTTTATTGACTAAATGAAGCTATACAGTCTTATTCTATTCATATTTATAGTTCTAGTGTCTAGCATGGTGTAAGAGTTGAAATAATTGTGAAAATGATATAAAGAACATAAAAGTATTTTATTAACTGGGCTAAGAGAATTTGAGGCCTCTTCCAAGTATGAAATTATATCTGCATATGAGAAATTGATCATCTCTGCAGGATTAAGGACCAGGTCTCAAAAGATTATCTGGTGGAACTCCTAAATTTGCCAACAAATAGAGAAGGCTTCCATGAGCACACATGGACAGTCTGGACAACACTCATTTCTCTTTGCTCACAAGTAGCCTGACAGTCACGTCAAAGGTGGTGTTATGCCAAGGTCTCTTCTACTCATGTGCTTTCAGCTTGATGTGCCACTCAAATCACAAAGCTAAGCCCAGTCTGACCAGTATAAGATCAGCCATCCCAATATCCCAGATGGTGATATAACCAAAAGCAAGTGGAATCTTTGCCACATATCTAGGGAGAGACGTCCTTGACACCTCCCCTCCCTCACCCTCCATAGTCACTAAGTTCTGGCAATTTTACCTAACCAACATATCTCAAATCCACACAATTCTCTCCCTCTCAACTGCCATCACCCAGAGTCTAGGACCCCATCCTCCCTCCCTGGACTTCTGCAACAATCTCTGCCTCTATTCTTGCCACCCTCTACTATCTGTTCACACAGCAGCTAGAATGAACTAAAAATGCAAATCGAATCATATCATTCCCCTCCTTAACCCTTTAAAGTATGATAAAACCCAAAATCC